ATTTTATTTTTACAGAATAATTTAAGTAATGAAATCTATGTATATAATTTAGGATTTTAGATTTGTATAATATATTTTAATATTTAAAATTTATTACAGATTCTTGCAGTACTTTATGTAATATTTATTCTAATAATTAACACATTTTCTGTTATTATTATTCGAATAATCATTTTTCTAATTTAATCTTTTTTATCTTTTTACATATGTATATCAGAGTTTTTTAGCACGATAAGACATGCAACAGGATCATCCAACAATGCCTATTTTTCTACAAAATTTTAAGTACTTTTAAGTATTTTTAGTGTGATTAAATCAACTATGGGAATTGCACGGTTTTGAAGAATAATGAGAATTAATGATTACTCTTTTGGATATAAAAGAATTATATAATAATTCTCGCTATAATCAAACATCTTTAACAAAGTTGAAAAAAAAAGTTAAATAATATCACTAATGGAGACGAATTACATTCAAATCTGTTGAGCTTGTTGCATCATGATCAGTCAGAAATTGTTAATTGTTAATTATTTATTATGTAACGGGATATTTATCTCAACATATTTTTAAATCCGTGAAATGTGATACATGTAGAGCATTCATAAACAGTACTAACAATGAATATAGTCTCTTTCCAGCAGCTTTATTGACTAATTTAAAGTTGAAAGAGTCGGAAGGACTCAGTCGAAAAGAACTCGTAATACACTTTAATATAAAAATGTATTATTTAATCAGATACTTAGAAAATTATTTTCAAAATATTATCATCGCTCAGACGTATGAAATGGTTATAAAGAATATTTACACTCCTTATAATTCGCGCAAAAATTATAGCGATAAAATATTGGCACAAATAATTGAATTTTATATTCTTTTACATACGAGAAAATATATTAATAAATTAAATACAGAAAAAAAATACATGAATCAACAAATTAAAAAAAAAATCAAAAATTCAAAATTTTACAAAATTTAAATATGTTTATGAGTATGTATATATAAGAAATTGTTTTTAATATTTAATATT